ACTAAAAAATAAAATAAAAGAATATATAGTTCTTTACTATTTAATTTATTATTTTTTTCTAAATAAGAAAACAAATCGAAATTTTCAAATTGTTTTTAGTTTCCGATTCTTCTTTTTCAAACAGGGTTGATCCATTTTCAAACTTAAATAATATAAATTTTAATATCTATATTATACAATTATGGTTTTAAATTTAAAATTTTTAAATGTTTATTTACACAAAAAGTACTATAAAAAGTATAAAATAAGTAATAATTTTCATATTATTCTGAATTAATTTATCTTGTTTTGAATAAATTATAAGACGGTGTACAAATTAGATTATTGTCAATTTTTTAATGTTTTAAATAAGAAAATGTCTTTTTAAAAAAATCTATTAATTAAATCGATGTCTAATCAATGCTTCTTTATAACACCGTTGGTCTCATTCATCAGTTTTTTCATGATGGTGTTGTTGTTTTTGATTTTTACAATGCATCCTCACCAAGTTTCATTAACCTTTAAACAAGACAAAAATGATATTCCCATTGAAAATAACACAAATCCAAATCAAACAGAAGAAGAAACTGAATTTCTTCCAAAAGGAACACCACTCCCAGTTATTCCACAAAACACACCTTTATTCAAAAACACTATACCTTTCTATAAAGAAATGGAAAAGCATGTTTTAGAAGAGTACGGGCCACAATTTTCTTTAGATGAGAGTTACCCTCTTGAAGTGAAAACAACGACATATGGAAAGGTGAACAAAAGATATAAACAACCGGTTCATAAACATAACACAAGCTATCCACAACACTTGATGTTAGCAATGATCCACGCCACACCAAATCAAGTGCAGAATATTATTGATATGCGAAAGACGTGGTGTCAAAAGAAATACGCCAGTGTATTTGGCTTTAAGTGTATCTTCATTTTAGTGCGACAAACTGTTCAGAAGTCTCATAAAGTGGACTATTTCAAAACAATGAATCAAACAACAAAAGACATTTATTTCATCGACATGCCATTCTTAGAGGAAAAGTGGACAACTTTACAGCAAAAGGATATTTCCTCATTTATTTATTTATACCCAATTTTTGATAATTATAAATACTATGTGAGGTTTGATAATCACGTCGTGGTTAATATAGAAATGCTGTGTGACGTCTTGAATGAACTTCCAAGTGAAGCTACTGTCGTCGGAAGGTTAATGGAACATCGCCCTATAGCAGACACTAAACAACGCTATTTCGACAAGATGGCGCAAGTACTGAAAAAGTATTACATGTTCGTCCCGGGACACGTTGCGGCTTTCACTAATGACTTGGCTAAGTTCTTCGGAAAATGGAGTTTGTATTACCAACTCACACCAACATCACTTGAAGATACAACTTTTGGTTTTTTGATCTATAGATTTGCAATGGAAAAACATATGATGATCAATTTCGTACAACCAGAAAAGTGGGGAAATGGACACTCAGGACAATATGGAAATTTTATCATTTTTCATAGAGCACATAATCAGATTAATATAACAGAGTATTTCAATAGATGTGTCCAAGACGGGCATTTTGTTAATTGAGTATTTGATTTAATGTTTATCTATTTTTATTTTATTTATATTAATTAAATATAGTTTAATTAATTATCATGATATACTTTACTATGTTTTTCCACTTAAAATTATTAATAAGACAAACAAATGTTGTATTTTTTGTAATTTAATACAGTTAAACCTTTTAAAGTGAGTATGGTAATTATTGTTTAAAATAGTTAAATAGAAAACGCTAATTACAGTTTTTGTTGAAATAATACCAACTCTTGATAAGTTTCACTGTATATGTTTTTAATATTATTAATTATACCATCCTTAGATATAATTACATTGAATTTAAAAATTTGTTTTAGTACTAAAACATTGTTGAGAATAAAAAGAATTTCTATCAAAAAATATTAGATAAAACATTATATCTTATTTACACTTTCTTTTGGTTATATTTAATAAGGTTTATTATTAATTTTCTTATTATTAATGAATAAAGTCAATGAAGTTGAGCTATTTAAAGCAATACATGGGATGTTGTAGTTTACTACAAATAATTTTCTGAATTAAATAAAAAAATTAAATGATTAAATATCAAAAGTGTATATTTATCCACAACAAAGAAAGAAGAATTAAAAACATTCTTTTTTTCAAATAAAAACCTTATAATAATGAAAAGGTGAAGTTTAATTATATAATATAAACTCAATTTTGTACCTCAAAACAACTACTGATATGGGTAATAATACAAGTACATCATCTCAAACACCAACAGAAAAAGCCACCGCTTTTATTGTCTCTTCTTCACAAGAACTCAACAACAATTTTTTGAAACACGTTTCGAGGTGTCCTATTGGTTCTCCCATTAATTCTATGATAATCAACACATGTCCCGTCAAAACGTTGACTGACTTGAAAACATCAATTGATTTAGATGATTTACAAACACAAATACAAAATGAATATGGTACAAAAATAATGATTTATTTAATCAATTTATCAGACATCAAGTCTCTTGAATATGCCCAAACTGCTTTTAAAATGATTAAAGAGACAAATACAAGAGGAGTCATTGTATGTTACCAACTATATGGAGAAAACAATATATTTGATCAAGTTCAACAGTTTCAAAAGGATTCAAACAGTAAATTGAATGTGTTAATAAAAGGAATGGAAGAGTATAACGCAGTGTTATTAAATATAAAAGATCTATTTGTAGAAATTACAATACCAAATTATAGAGAGTGTCCTTGTAGAAAGCCAATTATATTACTTTACGACGAAAATGGTACAAAAGGAGTAAAGACTAAAACTACCGCGACACTAACTTTAAACACTCATAAAATAGAAATTGGAGAAACTTTTCCTCAAATTAAAGAATTTCAAAACCAAGAAAATAAAAATGAAAAAAGGTATAAATGGGAGTTGGAATATTCAAGTAATGGACGTTTAGCGTGTGACATTTTTCTATGTGACAGAAAGTACTCTTATTTATTTTGGGAAGGCAGAATTAATCAATATTTTGAAGGGACTGATATTGAAGTTGGAAGTATTGAAAATCTATGTGTGTTACTCAAGCGTCTTGGTCTCAACGAATATGAAATTAATGATTTTGTAGTGTATTGGATGGGAGAAATGAAGTGTTTCAAGTCAATTGGCGTTCGTATTGTTGGTGAAGAGTATGAAAAAGAAGTTAAATTAGCAGTTGATGGATTTAGTGCAATGCGAAGAGTATTTATTGGTATGTTTGAAGCCGATGGAATTCATCTGAAAGGCATAGAAAGTGTTAAGCAAATTGAAAGACCAATTGGAAAGTACATAATAGAATGGGGTGCTTTCATAATTCATTGAATTTAATATGTTTTGTGTTTTAATGATGTAATAATAACATTCGTTAAATCGTTTACATACCAAATAATAAAATCTATTAATAACTACAATATGGTAAATTTAACTAAAAAAAGAAATATATAATAAAATGATATTAATTTTAGTTTAAATATAATAATATAACAATTAAATTATTATACTATTTGATATTGTTTTTTATAATAAAAATAACGAAAAAAAATCATAATAATTATTATTATTAATTTTTTAACTATTCAATTTTCAATTAAATGGAATAGTAAAGTTTTATAATAAAAATAATATATTTTAATTATAATTAAAGTAACCATATTATTATAATATTTATATTATAATTAAGTAAAAAAAAGAATATCAACCAAATGGTTTAAAAGTCTTAATAAAAGTGTGTTTCGACACCTCCCCACTCAACAACATACTTCCCAGTTGGCCGAACTCTTTGTTGGATATCATCAATTTGACTGATTTTGTTTTGTGACCGAAGAGAGTCAAGTTGTTCTTGATTTATAGATTCTATTCCGATCAAGACTCGATGTTTCTGTGTAAATCCTTTCACGCTTAAAGGAATAAAAGTGTCAACGGAGTTATCAAACAGTGTAAGAGCCGTGTACTTCGATTGCGACATTTCAATTGTCCAATTCGTCACCATGTCGTTACTCTCAGTGGTGTTAAGCCCAAATTTCGAAACTAATTTTTCGAATTCCTCAAGGTACGTCTTCCCATTTAAAATTACTATTTGAGCAGAGTAAGTAAACGGACCAAGGGGGAGTGTCGTGTAAAACAAAAACATGTATTGTCTGTGTTCTACAGTCAATTTACAATGCCCATTATCTTCCGTTGTGTATTCTCCTTTCCATGTGATATTTGAAGAGGATTTTGTGGCTGTTGGGTATGTGGAATCGATGACGTCTGAGATGGGAGAAAGGGAAACCTCAAACTGCTCTGATGTGTTTGGAATATCATATAAAATCACCCAAATCATTGCAAGTATTAAATTCAAGTTTTGGAAACTATAAGTACATATTTATATTTTTATATTTTTCTAATTAAAAAAGTAAATAAATAAAAAAACGGGAAAAATAAATATATAGATTATTAATTCTTATATTAAAATAATATAGTTTTAATTGTTAATTATAATTATAGTTTTTTAATTATAAAAATATAATTAATATTAATAAACAGTAAGTCTTTTGTTAATAAATATACTTAATCAAGTACAAACGTAGTTTAATAACGTTGTTTAAGAACATACTGAAATTACAATAAAAACGAGTTTTTTAAAAAATATTAAAAATTTGATTATCTATATTTGGTTATTGGGAAAATACATTTTAATATAAACATTAATTAATAACAACTGAAATGTGTGATCACATTTTAATTAATACTTAAATATTGTATTAAAAAAATATAAAACAATAACATTGAAACATTTTTAAGAAGTAGTCAATTTGAATTTATAACAATGTTTATTCAACCCTTTTTAATTGAATAATTTGACAAATTTGATGTATCAAAGCATAAGAGTGTTATTAAAATGTTATGGTGGCTTTCAAAAGTATGTGATATATATTAAAATATATATTTCATATCATATTTTTGGTTTGATATTTTTTGTGAAGTACATTATTATTGATGGAACTGAATTGTTTATTATAATGCAAGTAATTACAATTTTAATAAGTCTGACATTTTTTTTAATTTCAACATAATCATTTCGATCAATATGTATCTTGAATATTTAAAACTGTTATGTCAAAATTTACGATTTCAAGTTTAAAAACAACAATTTAAATATTTATCAATGTTATTTTAACATTTTATATATTAAATTAATTTGACAAATAAGTACAAATATTATATATTTTAACTTTTAAATGATAATTGATTAAACAATTTATTTTTAGCAGTTCTAAAACATGCCAAACTATTATTATAATTGATTAGATGGTTTGATGTTTTTCAAATTAAAATATTTAGATAATATACAAATAATAAAGACAATTTAAAAATTTTAGTATTATTAAAAAGTATAAAATTCCTCTTTCGGATTTTTTAAAAAAGGTGGTTTTATTAACACTCAAATGAATTCTTTTTACTGTTTCAAGTAAACAAATATTTTTATTATTTAATAAATTTATCTTAAACCACCAAATTGAAAGTATGTTATTATAACGAAGTAATGTTATTATTCGTTAACTTCAGTTTTCTCCAATTAAAATTATAACAATTTAAACTCCCCTTTTAAACTATGATATATATTTATGTTAAATTTTGTTGTCATAATAACATTAGTTGTTAGTGCAAATTCATTAAAGTGTGGAAATTCTGATGAAGATATCAACTGTGTTGCTTGTTCAATTGATGCAAGCAAACTAGATAATTGTGTTGATTGTATAGAAGGGTTTTATCTCGATTTAAACAATGAACCAAACAACTGTATTGCTTGTCCTAGTAACTGTTCATATTGTAATGAACTTAAGTGTATTACTTGCAACACCAAATTTAATTTTACTGAATCAAATGTCTGTGTATCATGTGGTAATCAATGCGATACTTGTGAATATTCAAATAATGACAAAACAATGTTATGTACAAGTTGTGAAAGTGGATATTATTTATACAACAACACGTGTAATAAATGTTCGTTGACGGGTTGTGTTGAGTGTGAATATATTGAATCCATTTCTGACGTTGGGTGTACATATTGTGATGACTCGAACCTTGTTGACAAATTTGTGAATGTAGATACCCATCAATGTGAAACATGTGAAGAAGGAAAGTTATTTGGTAATTATTGTGATCATAACATTTCTTCGTGTGAAATAGACAATTGCGTGTTTTGTGAACAAAATTCAACAGGAAACAATGAGTGTCTCCGTTGCAATACTTCATTATATCTTCTTCAAAATAATACATGTGGTCCATGTGATGGACCTACTGATTTTAAATATTTTTATACATCTAATTATATTAAATATTACGTTTGTGGAACTTGTGATCCTAATTATCACTGTAATGGGTGCTCAACAAATTCTTGGGGTACACAAATTTGTGACAAATGTGAAGAGAATTATTATATGGACCCAAGTGACCATCGTTGTAATGATTGTTCCAAGGGATATTTTAACAACAATCAGTGTGAATATTCGTATTATTATTGCAACACGATAATATCTAATTGTGTCGGTTGCAGATCGGAAAATGAGAGTATAATATGCACTCATTGTTACGACTCTTACTATTTGAATAAAACCGATTTGACCTGCTCAAATTGTAATATAGGAAAAAGATATACAGAAAACAATGGAGTGTACTCAATATCATATTGTGGAGAATGTGACCCCGTTAACAATTGTGTTGGCTGTGAAGTAAATGAAAATGGGGAAGAGTATTGCATTAAATGTGACAAAGGATATTACATTGAAATTAATGGAACAAAATGTATTGATTGCTCTGCTGGAAAAATAATTGACAATAAGTACTGTGATACAACACCAAATGTTTGTGAAGATGAAATTGATAATTGTGTTAGATGCAACAAAACATATTATGGATTGGACTGTCTACAATGTAAAGGTAATAGAGTTATTTCTCTTCTAAACGGTTGTGAAGATTGTAATAAAGGGAAGAAAGTTGATGAGCACACGTGTTCTTATTGTTCAGTTCATAGAAAATGTTCTCTGTGTCATGATGAGATAAATATAACGACAAACGAGAAGAATGAAATATGTGATAATTGCACCGATGGGTATTACCCTAATAATGAAACAGGTTGTTATATATACATTTGTAATGTGCCTTTTTGTTCTACTTGTAAAACAAACAAAGAGTGTTATTTATGTGAAAGTGGGTATATACTGAATGACAACAACGAATGTAAGAAAATTGGAGAAGATGATAATAATGCAGACAATCATGAAAACGCTTCTGAAACGCTTTGGGTGACTATTGTTTTGCTTTTTATTTGGGCTTTTTTGCTTTAAAACAAAAGTTAATAATATTGGTTATACTAATTATTATTATTATAAATATTATAAATATTATTATTATAATTATCATAATTATTAAAATAATAATAATAATATTATTATAAATTATTATTATTATTATTATCATCATAAATGTCATTATAAAATAACTAAAAAAAACATTTTAAATTTGATTTTATTAGTTATTAACTAAATAACTAATTGAATGAAACAAATAGATGGATTTCACATAATGGTAGTGTCCCAGTACTTCACAACACTCGAAGACTTCATTAACTTAGAATTTGTTTGCAAAAAGTATCAAGACACCATGGCGAAGTATCATTTCAACCCGATTCCAATAAATAAGACGACAATAAAGTACTTTCCAAATATAGAGACTCTTAACCTTTGGAATAAAGAAGATGAGACTTATGAAAATCATTTTTTACCCAACAAGAGGGTGTTATTAAAAGAAAAGGTCGAATTTTATCGGATCAACGTGTGGTTTCAAGTGACTTATTATTTTTCGAAAACACATGAAAACACCAATTTGATATTTAAAAATATCATGTACACAAAAGACGATGTTACAAGATATGGAGAGTCCTTCCCAACTCATATTAAGAGCATAGGTAAAGAAAGTTACACTTCTTCGTCTTTTTCTATTTTTAAACTCCTCGATTCAATCACCTCCCTTGGTATTTCCAGCTTTCAAAACTGTTCCAATTTAACATCACTGACACTTTCTCACTTTATCAAAGAAATTGGTGCCCATTGTTTTGAGAGGTGTATAGCATTGAAATCAATTGATCTTCCACAGACAGTCACATTCATGGGTACGCACTGTTTTGGCTATTGCAGTCAATTGAGTTCTATTAGTCTTCCGGAGTCCTTGGTGGTATTAAAAAGTGGGTTATTCAGTTGTTGTACAAATCTCCAACATGTGACATTTCCGTCTCAAGTCAAGATTTTTGAAAAAAACTGCTTTTCTCATTGTGAATCACTGAAGTCGCTTATTATACCCAACTGTGAATCTTGTTTTTGTAATGACGTGTTTCATTTTTGCACCAATTTAACTTCTTTTTCTTTGAGTGGAAAGGTGAGTATAATAAAAAATGGATGTTTTGAGGAATGCAGTTCAATTGTTGATATTCATTTACCAAATAGTGTTACGGCTATATACTCCATGTGTTTCTTTAATTGCGTTGCTTTGAAGACAATAACACTGCCATTAAAATTGACAGAAATTCCAGAGATGTGTTTCTGTAATTGTGAACTATTAGAAAGTGTTGACATCCCAGAATGTATTAGTATCTTCGGTTCAAGTGCATTTTATGGATGTGAAAAGATGAAGCACATTAAAATACCAAAAAGCGTCACTGTGATTAAAGATTATTGTTTTAGTTGGTGTACATCACTTGAAATTATACTACCAAATCATAATATAATATTAGAAGAGGAGTGTTTTGAAAAGTGCAAAAGTGTCGTCTTCAAATGATATTTTATTTCTTTTATTTAATAATTGTTGTTTATTTAAATTTGAATTCTACTCCACTAGAGTTTTTGATTTTCTGAATTGTGTCTATTTGTGGGTTTTTAAACAAAAATAGTGATGTGTTTTAATTATAATGTCTGTCTAAAATGTTGTCAGATTCAAAACTTTGTCCATTTGACAGAAATTTACATAAACTCACAATTGGACACTTTTTGCTCAAAACTTTTTAAAACAATTATAACATATTCTCATAATTTAAATAACATATAATATATTAAAACATTAAAACAACAAAACATAATACATCAAATATTATTCTGTATCATAAAAGAGTTGTAATTTCTTTAATGCTTCATTTATAGTCATCCGTTTGTTCTTTTCTTGTTCCCAACATTCATTGATTATCAAATATAAATCGTTTGGTATATCTTTAATATTTTCAAGCCGATTTCCACTTGTCACAAAATCTGCAATTGTCCATGGATATTTAAACCGTTTCAATGAATATGGATCTTGCCATCCAAACACTTCGTACATCGTGACTGCAAATGAATATACATCTGCTGGTTTCTTGTAGTGCTCTTTATTTAATACTTCAGGCGCCATATAAATTGGTGTTCCAACACCATTAGTGAACGTCATATTAGTCATTAAAATATTAATATTTCTACTTGACCCAAAGTCAGCCAATTTTGCGTTCACATAATCATTCAAATCCAATGAAAACACAAGAAAATTGTCTGGCTTGATGTCTCTGTGTAAGATCCCATTTTCATGCAAATAAGAAATTCCCTTTGCAGCGTCAATCATCATTTTAACTCGCATTTTCATGTCAACTTCTTCACTCTTTTTATGTTTCATTACATCATTAATCGACCCAAATCGCGCAAATTCTGTGACCATTAATAAGTGATTTGGTATGAAAACAGCGCCATAAAAGTGAATGATATACTCGCATCTAAATTTGTCTAACATCTCAACTTCCTTTGTAAATTCTTCTTGTTGTATTTGACTCCTGTTATTTATCTGTTTCAATTTTTTGATAGCTACATCGTGTCCTTTGTATGTCCCTTTGTAAACAACACCAAACGTCCCTCTCCCAATTTGTTTCTCTTCATTAATTTCGTCATAATCCAATTTACTGCTATTTTCTGTTATACAAGTTATCATAAAATTATCCGTTGAGGTCTTTCCACTCTTTAATTGCAGCGAAATGATCACAATTTGATCACACAAACTCATTGTGCAATGGGGAGTTATAAACACCTCAAATTCGCACGCATATCCAGACTTTAATGTGACTAAATTTGGCTCTGTTCTGATGTTGTACTTCTCGCAATTTGATTTTGTTGTGATTTGAACTTTCATGTTACTTTTGGAATTGTTACCAACACATAACAGTGACCGACTTTCTTTATCAACTGCAAGGAGTTCTTCCTCGTCGTTAAAACTGAGAGATTTCAGATTCACCATGACATCACCAGACAACACTTTCATCTCAATATTCGATCGTTTCATTTCAAAAATGCAGATTTTGTCCATCTTAATTTTTCTATTTCGTTTATGTATTAATATTGTGGTGATTGTTATGAGAGTCACAACGAGAAGTATTATTAATATGACAATGGAAAATGGTAGAATAATATACGTCCCATATTTAAACACTTTGTCGCACGACATATTATCTGCACTTAACGAATATCCATCTGCACATTTCGAACATGTATTATTTGATGATGATATGCAGTTCGGAATGACAGAATAATCAAAACAAAAGTTATTCAACAAGACATAATTGGTGGTACACTGAGAACAAATATCAAGTGAAGTACATTCAATGCATTTGTTGTCACATTTTTCACAGGTGTTGTCTTTAATATAATAACCATTGTCACATGCCACACACCCATCTACTGTTGTATTTACACAATAAAGTAACTCACTTTGTAGATTACAATATTTAGTGATATTTTGTGGTGTTCTGTAATAACTTGTATTACACTTTATGCAATTTCCATTGTTAGAACAAGTCAAACAGGAAGTGTCACATACTTCACACGTCTTCCCATCTGGAGATCGCATGTATCCTTCTTTGCAATTAACACATCCGCTATAATCGGAGTTCATTAAATCACACAATTGAGCTATATCATTAAATGCAGTGCATTTCCCCTTACCTGAAATGTATGAGTATTTATCACATTGTGTACAATATGTCTTATTATAACAGTGAATGCATGGGTATTCACACTTTAAACACTCGCCTTTTGAATAATAATACCCGTTGATACACCTTTGACATCCTTTTGAACTTGTTTCTTCACATTTTGATACTTCCAAAAGTTTGTTGTTCATTACATTTGATTGATTGGTGTTTATTAAATCACTAATAACTGTTTGATTAGAAAAATTAATTTGAAAATTGCACTTTTTATTTTCTAAATAATAATTGTCTTCACATTCAAAACAACTTTCATTTACCACATCTACATAAATACAGTTGGGATAATTCTCTTGAGCGTCTTGACACCCATCAACATCTTTATACAACTTTTCTTCGCATTTTCTACAATAAATATCAAAAACCAGACAATTCAAATCGTCCATCGAAATACATCTCTCTCCATCAGTTATCTCTGAAATGCACTTCATACAAAACTCTTTATTTTGAATTTGACAATATTCGATGTTTTCTTCGCATTTTCCATATTCCAAGTGTTTGTTTGAAGAGCAATGAATACAGTTATAACTTTCAATTGCAATACAATTAGTATCTTGAATACACACATTGTTGTCTGTCAAAATAAAATTATCTTTACATGTAATAGCATGTACTGTTTCTATTGTTAATTGACACAGCGCTGAAGATATATCACAACTTTCAATTAATCCTTTTTGATCAACAAAATACGTGTCTTTTGCACTATAACAAAAGTCGTTGTGTGTTATTTTGCAGTTGTTTATTTGACCATTTATTGATTCATTTTTATAAGTAAAACATGTATTACTTCCATTTAAATAATTCATTTGATATTGACACATTTCTTCTATATTACAAAATCCGTTTGAAGATATGACATTTGATTCACATTGATCACACGTCTTTTGTGAATATTTTGAACACTTTGTTTCATCTTCTTTATCCAAGCATTTATGATTAACTAATATATACGAATTGTCACATACAATACACTCATCATTTACTTGAAATAGACATCCTTTCATGTTCATTTCTTTGGTTTGAAGAGTGTTGTTGTAATGAGTTGTGGCACTATACGCTAATATACATAAAAGACCATCACTTGACAAATAATATGGCGCAAAGCATTTTAAACACTTCCGAAGATTACCCACAATTTCACACTGTTGACATTGTTGAATTATTTCATAGCAATTTATACATGTGTTTTTCTCATCTTTTATCGTCCCATTTTGACACTCGGTACACCCTTCACTCGATGGAATATAATTTCCTGTACAACTGAAACACTCTTTTTGTGTTTGTGAACACTTTTCACAATTATTATGAATTTGACTACATTCAAGACACTCATTTCCATTCAAGAAGTAATTGAGTTCACATTGATTACATATTCTTTCACTTCGGTTCAACCCAGAAGAACACAACAAACAATTACCATTTGAAGAACATGGCACACATTCCCCATTCACATTTGTTTTGCCAGCCTCACACGATGAACACTCTCCACTGGTGTATAAACAATATGTACATTCTATTGGACAATTAAGACATGGTGAAACACCTCCCACTGAATATGTCTTGTTTTCGCATTTAGAACATATTCCATTGTTAAGACCATATCCAACTTTACACGTCAAACACATTCCATTTGTCGCATTACAACTGTTGCAGTTGATATTACAGGCAATACAAAACGTTTTTCCACTCTCATTTTGATACCCCATTTCTTCACATGGTTCACATTTAAAATTGATTTCTTGTGTCCCAACTTTACACATTTCGCACTTTCCATTGAGAAGTCCATACCCTGGATAACATGAAGTGCAATTACCATTCGTAGAATTACAGCCATTGCATTTTGAATCACATGATGTACATGTTGACGACTTTTCATACGAAAAAGAGTTTGGTAAACACGATTTACATGTTGAAGAGGCGAATGAAGAGTACTTCCCCGCTGGACATACTTCACACTTCTCTGATGTTTGATTTGCTTGGTACCCAGCTCCACATGGGTGGCAAATTGTTCCTGTTAATATATAACCATCTATACAACGACATTTCCCAGTGTTTCTATCACATTTTTCTTTACAATTTGAGTCACAATTTAGACAAATAGATGATCCAGTTTGATTGGCGTAAGTAAAATCATTGCATTCCAAACATTCATTCGATTTCTTTACTGAAAAAGTCCCTGTTGGGCATTTTTCGCATTTATTATTAAGTGAATAAGTACCAGAAGGACATACAGAACACTTCCCATTATCTATAACACTACCATTATCACATGATGTACAATTTCCATTTGTTTTGTCACAACTTTTACATGAACTATCACAAGAAGTACAAGAAATACTTCCATTAATAGATGTGTAATATAATGAAGGACATTCTTTGCACTCTGTTAAGTTCTCTTCATTTGAATAATACCCAGGAGAACAAAGTACACATTTTCCTTCGAATAATACACTTCCTGTTTTACAAGAAGTACAATTTCCACCTTTTTCATTACATGTTTTGCATGAACTGATACATGAAATACAAGTTGAAGAACCTTCATTTGAATATGTTCCTAATGGACACTTAGAACACCAATTACTATTTTCATTGGAATAATAACCCGCCTCACATTTCATACACTGTTTAGATAACAAATAACGACCTGCTGAACATCGACTACACTCTCCATTATAAATGTTACAAACTAGACAGTCTTCATTCACACATTTAGTGCAACTCGAAGAATTCTGCAGCGAATAATACCCCTCAGAACATGATGTACAAGAAGAACTCTTTGGAAGTGAATACGTCCCAGCTGAACAAACAGAACACAATGAATTTCCGGTATTGCCATTATAAGTGCCACCAGGACATTCAATACAATACGACGCTTTTTGAAGTGAATAAGTTCCTACACCACATGTACTGCATTTGGTTGAACCTTCATTTGAATACATCCCGGCGGAACAACTTGAACAACTTGAAGATGTTGCAGAGTTTGAAAATGTACCACCCGGACACAATGAACACGTTGGATCTCCAGATTTGGAATAAGATCCAGCGGGACATGCTTCACATTGATATGACCCTTGAAGGGATGTGTACCCTGCTGAGCATAAAGAACACATTGTTGATCTTTCATTTGAATAAGTACCAGCTCGGCAAATTGTACAAACAGACGCTTTTTGTAATGAATAATACCCACGTGCACAATTAGTACAAGTGCTTGATCCTTCATTTGAATATGTTCCTCCTTCACAATCACTACATGATGTACTTCCGGTGTTAGAATATGTTCCAGCTGGACATATGGTGCAATTAGATGAAGTTTTTAAGGAATAATACCCACCAGGACATTTGGTACATGAAGAACTCCCCTCTTTGGAGTAATAACCACCTTCACATGTTGGACAACTGGTAGCTCCTTGAGTTGAATAATACCCAGCCGAACAATTCAAGCAAAAAGCAGCCCCTTTGGAGGAATATGTACCCGGTGAACACGAAAGACAAGTCGAGGAACCTTCAGTTGAATATTTTCCACCTGCACACTCGGAACAACTTGAAGAATAGAGATCTGAGTAATAACCGGCACTACAAGGTGTACAACTCGACGCATTTTTTAATGAATAAAAACCCGCTAAACAACCAAGACATTCAGATAAACCTGCCGTTGAATAATAGCCCGCATTGCATTCGGTACATTTCTCATATTTTTCTTTTGAAAATGTCCCAGCTGGACACGTCAAACAAAATGCCGAATTTTGAGGAGAGTAAGTTCCACCAGAACATGATGTACATGTTTGTGCACCTTCATTTGAATAAGTCCCCGCTTCACATTGTGTGCAAGTGCTGTTGCCAATTTCGTTTTTATAAGTTCCAGCTGGACATTTTATACATAAAAAGTTGGAAGGGAAATAACCTGGTTCGCATTGTGTTTGTGAAACAGCGTATGAAAAAAGGCAACAAAGAGTGATAAATGAAAAATGAAATTTACTGTCCAAATAACAACACATTCTCAAATATATGAAGTGAGTTTTAGGTTTTTAGTAATGTTTAACACCAATTTAAATGTCTAAATTTTTAATTAATACGACCATTAAAAATGTTTGTTTTACATGTTAAGTAATTTCAACGAATAATATTTTTTATATAGTTATTTTTTGTATAAAAGTTAAACCAAAAAAATAAATAATGAATTTTTTGAAAGAAAATAATGCTTTAAACTCTAAAAGTAGTTCACCACATCTAAAAGAAAAACAATATAATTTAATTCTTTGTATAATAATTTGTAGTAAAATGATTAATTGGATTAACTCTGCTTGTGGATTTACACTTTGGTTTGCAACAAATAAACTATTTTAAATATCATATACAGACGTGGTACTAAGGTTTCGACCAGGACCATGGTTTCGACTAATAATTAATAATATTTATACCATTATTAAAACTAAATTTGAAAAGTTATATTTGGACTATTTTTTAAAATAAATATAGAAACTCGTTAATTACTATTTAAATAGTATTTAAATAATAAGTCGAAACCTTGGTACTCGTCGAAACTTTAGTCCCACATCTGTAATAATTGATAGATTTTCTAATCATAATCACCAGTTATTACAATTCTAATAATTTAAATAATTAATAGAATTATTAAATAATTTTAATAATTTTATACATTAGTTATTTTTTTAATATTTTGTTAGTTTATTATTAAAATTTAAGTTTAATAACAAAGAATTTAAATCATTTTTGAATTTTTTCTTTAAAATTTGTGGCAACAAATCAAAAAACCATATTACAATAATATTATTTGACTTGTTGCAAAAAATTAATTCAAAAATATTAATTAATTTCAACCATTTAAATAAATAAAATTATTAAATTTCGGTGTTTTTGGTTTGAAATAATTAAACTATATGATTATATTTTAATTAAAAGTCAACTACAAAAGTACAGCATAAAGCAAAATTTTACATAAAGTGGAGCGACCAAACTGTAATATCATTTGTCGAGTATTTTCTTTATTTTATTGATAATAAAAATGGAGAATTCTTGATCATACAATTGTTTAAAACTTTTAGTGTGAACAAAATGTAACAGCAGATATATTTTAATTATCTTGATAAAAATTCAAATAAAGAATGACTTGTGTTATGAAATATCTAAAACAATATACAATATATTTGTATTAAAAATGTTATTAAAACTTTTACGTTATTAATCGAATTCTATTGAGTCTATTAATTTATTTCAAAACAATATACATAAGAACTTAAATATACCCAACATCAATTATTAGTAACATATCGATGGAAAACGCTATTAATTTTATTGATGAAATTACTTTGCAATATAATACTTGGTTCGATGACTACACTTCCTCTTTGACTGACACAAAATTTAAAGACGACCTTTCACAAACTTTGGCAGACCGTCTCCGTCTTGCTGAAACGGCGTTTGACATCTCAGACGAGCATTTTAACCTCAAAATCGCCTTTTACAAAAATTCTCATCTTTTTCTCCAAAAACTCGAAAATTTTGTCGAACTTTTTTCTCACAAAATTTCCGACTTTTTCGACTTTCAAAAAATTGCCACCGACGAACATTTCGACACAATTTCTGACGTTTTACTCAAATTATACAAAGAGATGGACGCGACTCAAACGGACACTCACGACTCTTCTCGAAGTCAATCGAACATTTCCGAACTGCTAAAAATCACAGAACAACGCAAAAGAGAAGTGAAAAGCATTTACTTAGGATGTTCGAGTGAAGAGGTAAGTGCAATAGAGAGTATGACAAGTAAGAGTATGAGTGAAGTGTTGTTTGACTCGACACGAGATGATTGGAGTGTTACGACGAGTGTTTTTAATTGTAAAATTATGTTTAAAAATAATTTGGTCTTTTTGATCGAAGACGACAAACAGAACATTTTTGGTGGTGTCTTTTATGACCAAATAGATATGGAAACTCATTATATAAATAGCTCTACCTCTTTTCTCTTTTCTATTATTAGAAACGGCATTTTCAAACCTAAAAAATTTGATCTCATTGGTGGGAAGAACAAAGAAGCTTTTGTATTATGTTCAAAAGAAAGTAAATGGCTCTTTGTCTTTGGAAATAGTAAATCAAAGGAATACGGCGATATAGGAGTCACTAAAAGAGGGGTGGATGGTTGTTGTTGTGTACAACAAGACTATACAGCTAAATTTGGAGAATTGGTTGATGGAAGACATTTTAATATCAAACGAATACGAATTATCAAATTATTATTAAATTAATTGAAAGAAAGAAGTATTGAATTAAATCATTTTATTATTTAATTAATAAAAACTAGTAAATTATATAATTGAATAGTTTCTTTGAACTTTGAAATTATTAATTGTATTTTATAATTAAAATTATATTGAAATTTTAACGTTTATTTATAGTATACTAATAATTATTCAATGGTATAACAATAATAGTAAGACATATTAGAATATAATACATTAACAATCAAAATAACAAAAATTGTACGAATTATTTTAATCCGTACCAAAACAATTAAATAGTTTTGTGGAAGAAATGAGAACAAACATCGATGAATTTTTTCTTCAAAAGAAGTCGAACGAATTGGAGGAAAGTGAAAAAGGAAAAAAGTGGATTCATCAAGATAAAAATCTAAGAACACAAGTGGAAAGTACTCTTTGTTGAAAAAAAAGGTGTTGAATTATTTCCAAAAAAGTGGGAGATTTGAGTGAAATGAGTTTGAGTGAAAAGGAGTGTACAAACCGTTTTTATGTACTATATATTTAATATAAATGTATCAAATTAATAGTACATGTAATAATGAAGTGGTGTGAGGTTTTGTTATGTTGAGAGTGAGAAGAAGATACCACTTAATAGAGAGCTTTCTATTATCCACTTTCCAGAACTGTATAAACGGAATTTGAACTGATCAAATCACTTGATGAGTGAGAAAGAGAAGACAGAAAAGAAATGTACCGGCTCCTGTGGACATGATGTACAGGAATGTGTTCATTGTCATACAAAGTACTGCCACAAATGTTGTGGGAATGGACCAGCACTTGTGAGATGTCCAAATTGTAATAAACACTTTGATGAAAAAATTAAGTGAATCTTTGTTGTTAATGTTTAAGTTTTTTATCATTGTAATTGTTGTGATATGGAAGTACACAACTCCGGTATGGTCACTCTTACTTATCTAATACTTTGCCTTATGCAAGACTATTATAGTTAATTTATAATTTAAATAAATTATTATATAGTTTGATACTTACAAACCAAAAACACCAAAATCTATTTCAGTTTTTATTTATTTAAATGGTTTATATTAACTAATGTTTATAAATACAAGTTTTACAAAAGTCAGAGTGTCCATACTATAAGTGTATCTATTACATGTAATGATAAAATGAAAAAAGTAACATTTTGTTTTATTTTGTATAACATTTTATATTTAAACAAAAAGAATAAAATTATAATATTGAAATTATAAATTTAAACTCTTTTTCATTAATTACAAATAATTTTTTTTAATTCAATTTATTAAATAATAATAATAAAAACTAAATACAATTGCTATTTTCAATAATTATAATATATTTATATTATAATTATTAATACGATAAAAATAACTATACTTTGTAATTAATTCTATTATATTTAATAGTAATATGCTATAATAAGTTGACTCAAAATATTTTTTGTTTATTTTTCAAAAATAAATTCAAAATTAATAAAAAATTTGAATTTAATTAAAAAATTTTTCCTCACCGTCCCAATTATATTATTTTCAATAATAAAAAGAACTATAAAATACTATTTTGAACGCATGTCCAGCCTTCCGAGTGAAGCGGTGTTTATGGTCTCCCAATACTTTCAAACGCCCAACGACTTTATTTTCTTAGAAATGGTAAGTAAAAAGTATCGCCACAATGGCGAGCACTTTGCGTCGAATCCGATCCGATTAGATGAAATAAGTGCGAAGATTTTTAGTCGACTTTCAGTGATCAATTTGTTTACACCCGAGGAATTCTCCTTTTACTTCTCCACGCGCAAAAACAACTTTAAAACGGCGCAGCACTTCAATGTTTATTTTAAAACGAGTTATTCCGAGATCACGCGGTACACCAAATATCCCAATGTCACCTTTCTGAACGTCGAATACACACGAAAAGACTTTCTCGAGTACTCTGCGACACTAGGCGGGAAGATACCGAAGATCGTGAAGAGTCTTGGGTATGGGTGTTTGAGTTGCCTAGCGAGTCTGAAGGGGTATACTGTTCGTCCGCACGTACAGCGTCTTGGCAATGAGTGTTTTAAAAACTGTTATAATCTCGTAGCAGTGACGTTGTCGAGTAATTTGACGGCCCTTGGAAACGCGACTTTTGAGAATTGCATGCGCCTTGCAAAGATCGAGTTGCCCAACACACTCTCGACCATCAGCGAAAGTTGTTTCAAGTGCTGTGCGATGCTTAGTAGTGTGAAGTTCCCTCTTCACTTACTTTCTATCGAAAACAGTGCGTTTTACTGCTGTAAAGAACTGAAGAGTATCACCTTCCCCAGCGCTTTGAGTGTGTTGGGGAAACAAAGCTTCGAAGGATGCAAAAGTGTCTCTAAGGTCGTGATCCCCCAGAAGGTCGAGTCCGTCCCCAACAAGTGCTTTTTGAATTGCCCGCGCCTGCGCTTTGTGTACCTGTCGAAGAAAGTCCGAAAAGTCGGGAAATCGGCGTTTGAGAAATGCGGACTTGGCGACGTCGTTGTTGAAGGAAGTTTGGTGCGAGTTGGGACGAACGCGTTTGCAAAGGGAAAGACCAAAGTGACGATTTGGGTGGACAAAAAGAACGAAAGAAGCAAAGAAATTGGCGAGTTAATTGAGGGGGTGGGTGTTTCAGTCGCGTTGTTCTCGGACGAGGAGGAGAACGAAATTGACGAAGAGGTCGAGCGCTGTCGAGAAATGACTAAATTTGATGAAGAAGAGAAGACGGAGAAATTGGCGGAACGAGTGGAAGTGCAACAAGAAATTGAGCCGAAAGAGAGAAGTCAGAAACTGCCTGATTTTAATGATCTCTTGAATGGTCATGGTATTCAACGTTTAGAACAGAGAAGAGAAGACATCTTGAATATAACAGAATTGAATTTGATTCAGAGGGATCAGAGATGTGTATACAAAAAAGGGACACAAATAGATGAAGTCATAATCGTTTCTGAAGACTCCGAAAACAGTAAAAGCAATGAGAGCAATACCGATCCTAAATATTCATCGTATTCTAAGCAACACGAAGAGTCCTCTGAATATGACACAAGTCCACTTTCTGACACTTCCCACAGTGATACATCACAAGAAGAAATCCTTGTTAATGAACAGACTCAAAACAACGACGTGATCATGTTCGAACAACTCGACCATCTCGATCTGGAAGTAACTGACGACTCAGATACACTCGATGGCATCAAAGAACTTCAGAATAGTACCGATGACCAACTTGATCTTAAAAAGGATCTCAATAAAATACCTCAACTGGATCTCAAAAAGGATCTTGATATTACGCCACTTGATCTCAAAAATGTTGAACGAAAAAGTCGCCCATTGATATTCACTATTAAACAGTCGAAGCAAGTGAGTGGAAACGACAAACAACTTCTTTTTGGTCACCAGAAAGACAATGAAAGAGCACAAGAAGGGTGTTGTACAATAAATAAAGAGAAAGATCGAAATACAAATGACGAATTAAATTTAATGACACGTGTGGTGGATAAATACTTTTTTAATAATAAAGAGCTGAGGGAGTTGAGTATTCCGAATACCATCACACAACTTGGGAAGAGCGTGTTTGAGGGCTGCGTCTCACTCGAAGGAGTCACCGTATTGGCACCAATCAGTATATTACAAATTCACACGTTTTCGATGTGTAACAACTTGAAAGAAGTCGTCTTGCCAAGTTCTATCACTTCAATTGGCGATTTCTGCTTTTATAAATGCAGCAGTTTGAAGTTTGTACATCTCCCAGAAACCATTTCAGAGATCGGGGAAAGCTGCTTTGAAGAGTGCAAAAGTCTACGACAACTTTTGGTCCCAAACGCCATCAATGAAATTAAAAAGAAGACGTTTTTGGCATGCCAAAAGCTGTCAGAAGTTGTTCTTCCGTCAAAGTTGAGTGTTGTTGGAGAAGAGTGTTTTAAAGACTGCGAGCAACTGCAAAGTATTGACATCAGAAACGTTCTTAAAGTCCAAAGAAAGTCTTTTGAGGGGTGTAAAGAGCTCAAAACGGTATTCATTCAACACTGCAAGGAATTTGGTGAAGAGGCGTTTAAAGACTGCAACAAACTCGAGTTGACAATCGAAGAAGAAGATTACGTGCTGGGCGAAAACTGCTTTGAAAATTGCGAGAAAGTGTGTGTGGTGAAAGGAGACGCAATGAAAGGGTTTGACTGTTGTTCGGATTATAATATAGAAATACTATAAACGGGAGATAGAGAATTATAGAATTGCAAAGAAAAGAGAGATGGAGACGTTCTATTAAAGGTAAACATGTTGTAAGGTATGATTGTATAAGTTATATTATTAATTGTGTTTATGAATTAGTCACTAGCATATATTAAATATATAAAATTGTATATTAATGATGATAAATAATGTTATCAAGCTGTGTGTTGATTATTAATACTTGGATAAATATATATATTAATATAGGAATAGATAAATATATATATATATGTATCTTATTTAGTTATATATTGTTCGTTATTCACTTGTAGTGTATTGTGATATTTACAAATGTAAACCC